TGAAACCCTTGCAATCTGACTGTAAACGCTTCACCCCGCTTCTGTGAAGAGTTCGGGAAGAATTGATGCAACCAGTTCTACTGGTAGTTATGAGGAAAAAGAAATTTTCAAGTAGCTTCCAAACTCACACTAAAAAAATAGCTAGAAGGTCTTCATGAATGATGGATGTGAGAAATCCTAGAATCCAAATAGAAATTATCAAGGACGGTTTATTCGAGAAAGTGTTAGCTGTTCCGTCTCTTGGGCTGCATGGGCTTTGCCAAATTCACGCATCAAAGCGGAAAGGAGGAATCGAATTACTGACATCTGACATGCGATATTTATAAATTCCAGAACGGTAGATCATGAGGAAGTTACTGTAATGACCCTGTTAGTGTGATCTTCGCCCATAAGAAATTGTCTTTATTTATCGAACAACTACCTTAAACAGGTTTTCGATACCATGACACCAGTAGTTTTTGTACCGCATTACAAATGTTTTAAAAAGCCATTATCGTCGAGCACAAAACGAAGTTTCTCGTCACGAAAATGTCTCTTTCTTGGAGATTATTTCATCATTATAACACTGCAATCATCACTCAAATAATCATTAATCATATAATCATAATCACTATTACTATAAGATTGATCAACCTGTTAAGAATTCCTCTATTTATATTGTTGGCGGGCGATCTTAGCTTAAATCACTCTTCAAAAATTGTTTCCTACCTCCGTGATTTGATAAATTTGACTTGGTTATTATGAAGAATGACTTTTTTCTCCAAACTTCTCTACTGATTTTTCCATCAAATATTCTAGATCTGCTATCATTTAACATTTTATTGTGTAAGTTCTGATTTCGTATTGAATGAATTCCAGAATAATGAAGCTGCAACTTTCTTCCTTGATATTCTTTGCTATCATTTCATCAGTGGCTGCTCAGTATAACTACGGCTTCGGAGGCTACGGTGGAGGATTCTCACCCTATGGATTTCAACCCTTCGGCAGATACGGCGGACCTTTTGGCGGCTTCGGTTTCGGTCAACAACCACCCGGATTTGGATCCGGCGGCTTCGGACCGTTTGGCGGCGGGTATGGACCGTTTGGCGGCGGCTATGGACCGTTTGGCGGCGGATTTGGACCGTTTGGTGGCGGATTTGGACCGTTTGGTGGCAGATATGGACCGTTTGGCGGCGGCTATGGACCGTTTGGCGGCCGAAATGGATATGGCGGTAGCACTCTTGACACTGCTCTTAGAGGCGCCGCACAGGGAGCTTTGCTTGCTCTCGCTAACGGGTAAAATTAGGATAGTTTTTCCAATGAGTTTTGATATTCTCTATAGCCATTTGTCTCTTATATTTTCACATTTATTGTATAGAAGCGTCACTGAAATTCTGATAAATCAATAGCATCTAGTAAACATGTTTTTCTGCAATACATATGCTGGTTTTTTGTTTCTGGAATACTTACTTTGTATTTTGTAGAACAAACAGCTACTCAAAATTGATGGAATGAACCACGAAATGTGTAAAGCTTACAAATTCCAGCAAATAATGTTAAATATGGTAGAAATCATGGTTTGCAAAGATGATTTTGCTGTCTACTTGTAGCTCAGAATGATCATCATCTACGTGCTTCGCATGAGATATTTTAAAATGGCGACTTCTTGCTAAACGTTGATGAAAATTGTGGTAATAGTGCGTAATCCTCCATTAGCGTCTCTCTAAGTTTTGCTGTTATATAGTACATTAGGAGCTCGTCTAGCGCAGTCGTTAGGGGTATCACGTGCTCGTTGCTTGAGCGCAGGCCCAGACCTCTTCAAAGAGTTCTTCAGTGGAAAGCAACTTCTTGTCAAATCTGTCCGAGGAATAGATCGATTGTACATTAGCAGGTCTCCAAATGCATTGCATAGGTCAAATGTGCATTCAGTCACCTTCATCGAAATGTTAGCGGTAAATACATGACACATCTAACAGAAATTAATATGTTTCGACAGATCATCATGCTTAATCTTACGGTTCTCGGAACACTAGAAAAGGTCTGTTCCTCTTTAGATTAAGAAAAATTCCTCAAAAATTCTGGAATATAGACCTAGACACTAGAGATAGATTAAAGGTCATTTTTGCATGTGCACTTATACAAATTGAAAGGTGCTGGAAGTCACTCGAAGATTCATCCATATGAACTAAAGATTGCTGACATAATATGATATCAAAAACATTGATTAGTGAGAAATGACTGCATTCAAATGAGACCCCTATGCTAATCTTCCATCCTCATTTGCGTACTTGTTACTAGAATTAAAGAGTGAGTTCTGAGAAATTTTTAAAAGCTTCGTTTTATGCAAAAATTAACAAGATAAACAACAATATCCATTCTTCAAAGTATGAGCCACCATTATGCACGACTTTCTACCGTTGTCCTGCAAGATTCCGAATCTGCTCGCAACTTGTTGACAACTATCCGCTGCGAATACCAAGTTCTTCAGCCAAATCACCAGTGCTCGATGAAGGCTCAGCATCCAAAGAGCCTTGCAAATCACTTTCATTCAAAACAGATGGCAGGCCAGAACGAGGAATGTCTTTGAAATCAAAACTGCTTTGTTGAATCGCTTAATATCATCTGCCCACAGCCAAATTCGTCGCCGTAGTAACACTTTCACCCTCATTTGTTTTCACCTTTTACAAAAAGGTTTTGCATGTTAATTAGGTTTGAGCTAAATTTTTTTTCCTCCAGTGGCGAATACGTAAAGAAAAACTTCGTCCCAAAATAGATTTAATGTCAATTTTTACAATTTTCACAATTTTCCAGACCACAGTTCATGCGAACGTTTTGACAGATGTACGTACCTTCTTCGTCATGGAGAGTAATGAATAAAGACTGGGAAAGAAAACAAATGGGGAGATGCCTTTGACGGTTTCCTTCGTAATAAATAGTGTAAGCGGCGCTAATAAATGGTCTCTAATTAACAGTGCGGGAATCATAGAAATTTCGCCTAACACTTTAAGTCACCTAATAGTTCGGGACTGCCTGTACGACCGTTTATGTAAGGCAGAGGACTGTCTGATATGCCTTTATTTCGAGTGCTTTGTTAAGACCACGCTCAGATTCAATAGATCCTTTCATTATTATTTGAGCCAACTTGTCATCTAATCTAGTGAGGACTCTTGTACAGCTCGATACACGTGTTTCGTTCTTGACTCGTCCTTATCAGACCACATTACAAGTCGGCTCAAATAATAATGAAAGGATCTATTGAAATTTGAGCGTGGTCTTAATAAAACACTCAAAATAAAGGTGTAATATTCTTATAGATTGTATTGAATGTTGATAACAAGGTTTACAAAATAGTAATTGATATGTTTCAATCTTTATTTGTCGATTTGCAAGAGGAAAATTATCCTACTCACCACGTCGACGCTTTAAAAATCGAATTATGGAAACTGCAACTCGGAAAGTCAGCGATAATATCACAGCAAGTTGTAAAGACATACGTGATCGTACTTCAAGAAATTCAACAAAGTAGCGACGAATGTGCTACGAGGCCACCATCTACCTGAACTAAAGCTTTGTCATATTTAAACCTAGGGGAGCAATTTGCCGCTCAGAGAAAAACTGTACGCACTGCAGCAGAAGCAGTGACACATTTGCTGAGATGGAAATCGGTACTGGTGTGATGGATATCGAAATCATATTAGATTTCGTTATAAATACTTGTTACTCTCTGAATGCGTATGTGTAGCATTCAAGATTGATTTCTGCTTGAATATTGAACACTTCTGTTATGTTATACTTCTTATCCAAATCATTTTTATCAGAAGTACAACTTTTTAGTTAAACTTTTCCAGATTTCCAAATCGTATGATTCATAACGTTTTGCTCGATCAGTTTCAATTTGAACAAGGAAACACGAGAGGAACTCAACTTTTTGCGACGCCGCCAGTCGATGTCTATAGCGTTCCAACGTCCTAGTTCACACAAAAATACTTCCGAAAGTGCAGGTGTAAATTGTACATCACGGCCTCATGCTGCAGATATGAGGCATAGTAAGACAGCCCCATTAGACGGATTAGCAATTCACAGTGACACTCTGGAAGCGATAACACATGTTAACCTGCAAAAAAGTTTTAAGAAGCGATAAGCGAACAGTTGCCAGAGTAATAACATCGACAATTTCGTAATCAGTCGCATTTTGAAAACATTGGAAATGTAGAAAAATGTGGAAAATGATAACTAGTATTCGAAATTTTAAGTATTTTACAGCATTTTTCGCTGTGTTATAATCACTCATAAATTCCTCAGAGAATTGAGTGGTGAGCAAAAACACGGGCCTAGTTGGGAATCGAACCCGCGTTTTATCCTATCAGGGGACGCGTGCTCTACCAATTCTCTTAGGAATATATGAATGTGATGAGTGAGTTTCAACATGGAAGGAGATCGGTGTCAAGGTAAGTGCTACGTACCTCATTTAAGCCACAAAACTACCTGTCGCTCTTATATTGCAATATATGCTATAATGTAGATTGTATACTCTAACAGAAGATCTTCACCAAATAGATTGCAGTGAGATAAGCCTTTTGAATATTTCTTACTAACAAATTTCACCAAAAGATGGTCACGATGATTCTTTGTATTCGGTAGCTGGAAGCGAGGCATATGTCACTTGAACTTTTACAAAACTCACAAAAGAAGTCTGTATCGACCGAGTTCGATTTTGAAATTAGTTACGTCACACGTAATTATGAAATGTAGAATCACTCTTATACATGTTGCATTAATAACGTTGGAAAATTCAAACGACACGTAGCTATATCCTCCAAGCTCGCCCTGCTCGATTTTTTGCAAACTGAAAAGGGGTTTTTAATGAGATTATGTCTTATGAACATCAATGCCCAATTTTTTAAAGGTGCTTTTCAATTTGGCCAACTGAATAGTTTTTGGAATTCATTTTATTTGACCACGTATTACGGTAGTATGATGTTGCAATAAACCCAATAATGTAGGATGGTGCGCAAAAACATTGCGTCAGTCGGGATTCATACCCAGATTTCACTCTTTCTGGGGACGTATGCTAACCGTTGCACCACCGACGCTCATTAATTTTGGACCGAGTCATAGCATTTCAAACCCATAGCTCAAAACGGATTAATATTTTTGCATCATCCTTTCATATAGGTGTTGCAATCAAAATTATTTGCTTCAGATGTCCAAAATCAACTCGTCTTCTTGCAGTCTCGAGTTTTATTACTGTTGTTTAATTACATAACCCGTCTTCACATTGGTGAGCGGATTCTAGCACTTTTAGCACTCAACTCGTCTCCTCGTATGCATCTCCACAAAAGTCTTCGTTCCTTTCTTTTTCGTTATGTCGACTGCTGCCTGAGATTTCACCTTCTTAATGGTTCACTCAGAATACCGTTCGGACAGATGTCTTTGTAATCTCGGAGGATCGCAAGCTAAAGTATTCGCTGACTAATTGCAGAGTTGACTAGAGTTAAGGGAGAGGATCAAACTAGGACCTTAATTTCTTACAGTCTTCATCACCAAACACTTGGCCACACTTCACCTCTTAATATTCATTCAAATAAAGATCTTTTCACAAATGCTGCTCAAGTCGTCATCAGTGGTTCCACCTAGCTAGTGATTGATGTTATAAAAACTACATCATCAGAAAAAATCAGAAAATTAAAGTCACATTATCATTAAGTACATTATCAGAATAGAAAATTAGTGTAACCGTTACCCATCGCCGTCAATTCGTACAGCACCTTTTCCTCAGTTTCATGCATTACATGGCTGTAAAAGCTTTGCCGAGATGATACAACCTTATCTATCCCCTTTTGGACAATGTTGAAACCGTTGTATAATGCCCTTTATGACTGTTAAGCTGTTACGTAACCAGTGAAGGACTATAAATTTGTAGGCACCGACTGCCCTATTGAAGATTCTATAGTTATCTATTCTCAACTCTATTAGCTTTTCTAAAGTTGCTAAAGCCGTGGTGAAAAAAGCATCTTGTGCTCTTGCGCTACATTGAGAATCGCGTTATCGTGATGATTTGGTCTTTCGCAAAGAATTCATTTCAAAAGCTTGATTACATACTTCAGTGACCTTATTGATATATTTTTTCAATCCTACGAACGATTACTGGAGTGAAGTATTTGTAAGCCGCAGATAGCAAACGTGTCGCTGCTTTCGTGGAAGTCTTTTTCTGTGTGTAAGAACGCTGTCGACTTGGTGGCCCTGCTCTGATTGGGACTAGTACAATATGCATTTTCCTTGATTTCCCAAGCGAGCAAGATGAAGAGGTTGTTTAATGTATCAGATTATTTATAGTGGGTGAGCTTCTGCTTCGTCTATATGGTAATCGTAGGTTTTCACGAACTCTGACTTTCCTCGCCTTGTAATTGGCGATGCGTTTACTTCCGCTCGTATCTTCAACTCTGACAGCTACTCTTCTGTGCTTAACAACTCCTTTTATCGCCTTTCTACTGAGTTTCACAAATTTCAACGTGAGCTGTTGATTGCCTACTGCTTATGTATTTCTATGTTGGCGTGTCATTCGAGAGGTAGATGTTTTTGGAAACATTTGGACTGCCTGCCTTCTTAGCATTAATATGAGGTATTATATAAGCCAATAATACTCTTTATCCATGCTCTCGATAGTTTTATTTTTTCTAAAGCAAGAAACACCCCAGTCGGCTTGTTAGTTTGGAAAAAAATCAGTTTTGAAGGAAGTCGTGCTAATAAAGTACCAGCTCCTCCACCTCCTTAGTTAACCCTTGTTTTCATAAGCATTCTTTTCATGAATGTATTATCGGTGGTTGATAAGCACCGGTTTCTCGTCTCTGTAAGGCCGATTACATCGGACTCAGGTCACATCGTCACCTGTTTAGTGGAGATTTCAGCCGCTCATGTGTTTACATTATAAGTACAGTCTACATCATAGCCCTGCCTCAAATGACACATCGCTAACTCATTTGCCTAATGTTTCCGAATATGCAGAAAGCTAAACTGTGTGTGGAGCCACACTCTCTGCCTGTGTGGTCCACTATTGATCAATGAAGGAACCATATGAGTTTCATAACATCATCCGACATGTGTGCGCTATTATCACCATTTATGGAGATTTCCAATTTGCATTTGTTGAAGAGTATCTGTTCGTTAAATTCGTGACAATTTTTCTAGAAAAAATTATCATTAACTGCAATACTTTTCATCACTTCTCAGACAATATCACCGACATCGTTAGAAAAATTTTGTTTAGTAAAAGTGAAAGTCAGTAAGATTCTCTTGCATAATAAATAAAAGTGATTTGCGTCACTGTTCCATTATTCATGTCTACAACTAGGTCAGAAAAACAACTCCATTACTCCAACAAAAAAAACCACACCTAGATTTTTATCTTACCAAGAACAAGGCAACTTTTACACACAATCACTACTTTTGAAATAGTTTTCCACTGAGTTGTCCAATTGGAGACCAATCGCAACTCAGCCGGCCGAAGTTAACTGATCAGCGGTGATGACTACTAGAGAGCGTTTGACTGCGAGTAAATTTGGTTTAATTTTGATTATAAAATGTGGACTTGGTGATTATTCTTTGTTAGAGCGATGGGATGTTTGGTTGAGTGAGTTGTGGACAACATGAATTTCCAAGGCCTGAGGAAAGAAACTGCCAAAATGTCAGTTGTTAAAATAAATTACACGATATCAACCTTGTGTTCTAGTTTATGAAGAAGAACTTTACAAAAAAATCATTTTCATCAGCAGCACACATTTCACAGCTACTTCTTCGCATCAATACCCACAAACACTTTTGAAAACAAATCTACAGTCATTTTCACCACACAAATGAATTCGGCGTCCCCATACGGAAGGTCTAGCGAGGATAAGGTTCCATTCATCCTGCCTTTTATTTCTAACGAAGTGAGTGCAGCCATTAAACGCTGCTTAAAAAAGAGCAGGTTTAGATAATTCGGTAGCAGTAGTCGAGATACCACCAAAAACACTAAAACGTCAATTAGTCCGCCGACTGTATGATCGTCTCTGCGAAACCAACGAATGCAAAGTTTGCCCAACGGCAGAGACGGCGACTGCATGAGTCGGGTACAATTTACCTGATCTCTTGCGAGACATGCGGGGATGAATATATTGGCGAAGGTAGACCACTCTGCATCCGCGTAAAAGAGCACCTAGCTGGGAAACGTAACTACGACCCAAAAACCCCACTAGGCACGCATAGGGAACAGAAGCATAATGGAGCAGATTTTGACGTTAAAGTCACGGTCCTTGCACAGGAATCGAAAACGTCCACGCGTAAAACTTTGGAAGCCTTCTGGATTCATAGCAAAGGCCCAAAAATGAACCGCAAAGAGGAATGCCTCGTAATAACGCGTGACCTAGCACCATATCTCAGGCTAATATTCCCGACCTGAGCCAGACACAGTCTTACATTATCATAGACTCCAAGTGGCAGGTCTTCAATGATTAATTGAGCGACCTAAAACATCTAAGCGGTGAGTGTTTTTGAAACGAAGTCTTTCTATGCGACCGAAAATTTATCTCTTACATTTTCTGCTAGGGTTATGAAGGCCTTTGATTTAATAATTCGCGAATCAATTGACCTTTCCAGGCTCTGAAGATGGCGAACTTTGCCGAAACGTTAGCCACCACGACTGTTGTAATATTCGTGCTGCATTATTAACTGTATTGTTATGTGCTTCACTGATATTCAATAAATAATATCATTAACACCTCGGAGCGGCTAAACAGAAGAAGATACTGACACAAATGAATGTTTTCCTTGCATTAGGAAACAGTAACGATGTTCCCACTGCCTATAGCTATATTGAGGTCCTTTCGGTCAAACTCTATTTATCACTGATCGCAAAGCTTTTCTTTGATGTCGATAAAGGTTCAAACTCTACTAGAAAGCAACAAAGTGTCGTCGGCTTACGCCACCAGTCGATTAGCCGCGACGCATGCCAAGCGAAAAATCAACATGGCATCTATAGTTTAAGTAGCGCACAATAGAAATGCCTAAAGGACCCAATGACCGCCTTTTTAAAGTAATTACTATCGAACTAAAAAGGCCGTTATTCGCGCTCATGTCTTAACTTACCATGTGACCGAACCTTACCATTTCTTCCCCTTTTTCTTTTCACAATTTTTTTTTCTCTCACATCATCACAGCAGCAATCAGCTTCTGCTTGAAGGAAGTGCTGCAACCTTGGTAAACTGCAAAATGGAGTTAACTGTTCAATGACAGACATACCGAAGATTGCCAACGACAAGATTCATTCAGTACATCACTTGTTGCCTCTTCGGCTGTATGTCTTTCCTTAAAATCGAAAGAGCAAATCGGCACGCATTCTATTCATTCAAACAGTTCATAACCTCAAAAAAGTACAGATACATGAAATCTATTGCATAAAAGGCCTTCTCCAAATATTCATCGCTTCTGGTTTGTTGTTATGCCCGCATAAGGTTGTTGTTACACGCCCTATTCAATCAAGGTAAAATTTCGACGGATTTTGCTCATACTGGTATGTGAGTTTGGATAAGTAAGTATAAGACAAAAAAATGTTGGTATACCGATCCTGAACTGAGAACTGACCGATAGTTTCAAGTCGCGAAGTTATCTAAAAAGTGAATTTATCTGGTGAGCATCTTGGGCCTAACTGTAATAAGGAGCGAATAATGAGGTCAGGGCGAGTCGGCGTTTTTGCACGAGGATTCTTTGAAGATGATCATAGGGAACGGGAAGAGTAAATGTAGCTTAGATCAAGTGAATTTTCAAAGGTATATTTTACTTCTCATATTGCTTGCTTTTAACACCGTACCAATCAAAATGAGATGTTGTTTCACATTTGAAGATCTCTCGACTGATAAAAGTTCTTTACAACAACTTTCAAGCGATAAATAGAGCAGATCTTTCTGAAAATATATTTGCTCTTCAGAAAAAACTTCTGTACACACACCCTAGTCGACTAAAAGTGCACACTGATTGTGAAACCCAACATTTTTGCGGTCTTTACAAAGCTCGAAGAAGTTTTCATCGAAAGTAAATATACCACTATAATCGGAAAAAT